AATAAGGATTTATCATTTCCAATGCCATAGTTGCCATATATTAATATTTTAGGTAAACATGTTAATATACTTATGCAAAAAATAGGCCTTTAGGTTGCTTAATGCTGTGTTCTTTTGTGTTGTGCGGTAGGTTGTCTCTTTGGACTTCACCTCTCAACCTGTCCAGTTCATTTTGATAGTTTGACCTAGCATTTGCTTGTATCATGTCCTTTCTTAATGCTACCATGCCCTCTCTTGCATTTCTTAACTTAAGTTCCTTGTGTAAACGCTCCAGATAACTTGTATTTCTCATATCAAATGGACTAAAATTTTTTAAATGATTTGTGAAGATGTGCTTTAGTGCCTGTTTTGTTGTTGTGTTTATGCTACTTAAACATTATTAATATATTTTGTTTTAGACAAATATATTAATAATTTAGACTTATTATTTTAATCGTATACCACAGACCCGCGTTCGCAAATTTCTAGCACGCTTGCACTAATAAGGTGGGTAAAAACCTCTTGAATGTCTTCAGCATAAATTGCGATAGTGCTATCACCGGGTGTAGTGTTTAGAGTTCCTTCAGTAGGGCGGATTTTCATAGTGATTAAACTACCCATTTTTGTGTTAACTCCAGTAAAGTTGACGTCAGCCATCTTTTCAATTGACATACCAATAATAAATGTGGTTTCTCTGTATTGCCTGCAACTGAAACTCAATGCATCTTGGTCCGGGTTCATGTAATGTATGGCTCTTCGCAAATAGTAGAAGGTTTCTGCATGATAATGATTGTGCCTCAAACTCTGGATACGTTTTGTTGCCTAACTGGATTTGCCATTATAAGTTTCTACCATAGTCTTGCAAACCTTTGCCTTGGTCTTGAGGATTTGCTACTGCTGCATTGTCCCAGATGAATGAGCTAATTTGAGAATTGTAAAAGTAGTTCCATCGCTTATGAACATAGTTGTCTGGTAAATAGTTAGCATTGATAGTTCCATTTCTTTGTGTTCTGTATAAAGTAATGAATGCTCCTGTGAGTTTGAATGATGACTTAACAATGTTCATATCCAATTCACCGCCTCCTTTGTTGAAGGTTTGTGTCAGTGTGTGATACATAGGAAAGACCAGTTTTAGTGACTGACCGTTCAACAAATGTTTTACTATGTTGTTATTAACAGTGTTGTTTAAAGTCATTACTTCAGCCCTGATAATAACATTGTTTAATTCCCACTGTGTAGAAGTGTTAGCTGCTTGAAAGTAATACCCCTGTTTGTCAGTTTGAGTGTTCGGGTTTCCTACTGCGCCTCCTTGTGGTTCTACAATAGGTACCAATTCATCATTAACAATTGTGAATTCTAATTCCAAAGGCGCATACCTCAAAGGTAAATAATAGTTTGTCTGCATCAACCCACAAACAGGCTTATGGCTGAATCGGGCTTTACCATTAGCGCCGGGAATTCCTGTCAATGAGTGTCTTGTATACTGTATCTTTTATCTATTCTACCCCATTCATTTTTATTTCCGTCAGGGGATACAGTTACTACACCGGGGGTTGGAGTAACACCAGCAGTAGTAGCCTGCGCTAATACATCCAAACCATTAGCATAGTCATGAAAGTCAGCGTCCCATCTTGGGTTAGCTGACATCTCTATGTCATCCATGTCTCTAACATACAACTCACAGTGTCTATTGTATTCAACAATATTTCGATCCATTTGACCTCCTACTGTTGCTCTGTATCGTTGAATAAAGGCATGTAAGCCTCCTGATGGACGTAAGAAATGGTGTCTTGTTCGATCGTTTTTTTGCAAAGTTGCAAACAACCTTACTGAACTCAAATCCACATAGGTATTATCCTCTCCTGAAATGTAAAACCTGATGTTTTTCGCCCCCGCATTCGCATTAAATACGTTTGTGGTGCTACTAAAATAGTTTACAAATCGCCTGTTTGTAACATATTGTGAAGTTTCAGGTAATCCAAAGTTCAGGTAATCCAGGTCACCAGCTTAAAAACAGACATCAAACGAAGCGGTATCCATTTAGCAGAAAGGATTTCTATGTTCTTTTCCTTCAGGGAGAGCTCTGGTAAGGATGAGTCTGGTTCTATGTTGTCCTTTTTATCCAGGTTCTTTTACAAAACTTGTGGTTTTTTACTTTAACATTTCAAGGTAAAAAATCACAAGTTTGCGTCTGTATGTACTTTTTGATGATGGTTAAAGAAGTATGAAGTATTGTTTTGCTTTGTGTGTATCATGGTTTCGTGCAAATTACTTTTTTGTTAGGTCGATTTGCTTTGCTGGTCGTTTGTGGGAGTCTTATGGTTTTGCATGACAAGTATGCTAAGGAGCCCTGGCGGCACATTGGTCTAAAAGTTCCCCACCACGGGCCCCCCCCCTCCTGGATCAAATCCCCCCTGCGCCGGTTCACGCCGTCGTGGACTTCTACCAGGGTTACTTGTGATTGCCTGCTACCTTTCGTTCACCCCCTCCTCTCTCAAATGTCCTTGGTGCGCTTGTGGAGAGAGACTCCACGCTTGATGCACTTGATTCAAGTTGTTAGCAGTTTCGGTGGTGGGGACCAGGCAGACCAGGGGCCGGTTGCTGTGGGAGCAACTCGTTGGTGACCTGAGCTTGAGTGGGCTTTCGTCCAACTGGGCAGTCTGGCTGGGTGTCTGGCGCATCTGAGGGTAAGTCTCCTGCAGGCTGGCATCAATGACAGCGACCGTGAGACCTTGGTGAATTCAAGCTTGGCGTGCGCTGCACTGGTAGCCACTACGGTGAGGTGTTCATCCATGATGGCCTTCAGTCCAGGCCTTTGTGTAGCGGTGGATCAGGTGGTTGTGCTGCTTGGTGTGGCAGCATATTTGTAGATGCTGGCATGATCATCGTCAAGTTTTTTGCAACTCTTCTTTGGCGTGCGCGACCCCAGCATCCCTCTGTCGCCGTTGTAAGTGTCCATCAAGTTCTGGCCCAGCCCTTCACTGGCCCAGCAGTTCGTGACTTTCTGGAAGGTCACCTCATCTTGCCAGGGGTCCTGGTGGTCGATGATGAGGGGCTGCTCGACGTGGTTGACTAAGTAGCCGCCTTCTCTGATTTCAGCGTACCTGTACGTCAAGGCCGTTGTTTCAAATAGAAGCCAAAGGGAGTTGACCAACTGAGCCGCACCTCCGTCCACGTTGAGGTTGTGTTGTTTCCGGAGACTTTGTAAACCTGGTAGTGCGCGCAGGTCTAGTCCACAGGATCAGTAATCCAGTGACTCTTGGACGGCCTCTCGCCCCAGGGCGCAGTGTTGGTCTCCTGCAGGATTCCTTACATCCATGTGAATGTTGGCGTGGCAGCCGGCGGTTGGGTTGCCCACGCTCATCGTGAGGTTCTGTGTGAGCAAATCGGAGGTGGAGGCATACTCATGATGCATGGTTGTAGTCAAAGGTGTGGCCGAGGTGGAGGTAGATGTCCTTTCTGCGTGAGCGCCTGTGAGAGGTGCTGAGCCAAGCGCCGCCGAGTGAGCGGTGTGAGAGCTGTCAAAGCTGTGCTGTTGGTCTGATGAATGTCGCTGTCGCGTGCTGTGATGCATTTCCCCTGCATCATTGCATGTCTCCATGGGCGCACACCTCAGAAGAGCCTGGATTTGATGAGAGGATGACGGCGGCAAAGGTGTTCCCCAAAGCAAAAGGTCACTGAAGGAGTTACCCACACTGTCACACTGTCCAGCTGGTGCAGCATGGGGTGGGCCTTCCATTTTGGTGACGTCCTCAGAGTTGTGGCTTGGCCGCTTGAGGAGACCGTGCAGCCGGGTCTTTTGCTCCTCGCAAAGCGAAACCCAAATTGGATACAAAGTGCTCAACACTGCTGGAAGATGGTCGGCTTCCATGGTCTGACTGGTCTGGAGGTCAGTTGCCGGTGGCGTTGTGTTGAACATCACTGGGTACTCCTCAGGCCTGATCATGTCCGGTGAGGTGATCTCCTGCTGCGCTCGCTGTGTTTTCCTCTCATCCTGACGATACGTCCACCATGGCAGGACTTCCAGCTGGTGAAGGGCTTATCAAGTCTGTTCACGCGCCAATCAATGCTCGATTTGGATATGGACAGACAAGCTGAAACCAGGCGCCCGTTGCCGCCAATGCAGGCAGTGGTGGCCCACCAGGACAAAGCCAGCAGGAAAAGGGCATGGACAACCTTTTCTACCCTCCAACCCGGGAATGACGTGGCCCAAAAAGAGCTACCAAGAGGCCCTGCTTGAGCCACCTCCAGGCCTCTCAAAGTTCAGGCCACTCAAACGCTCCAAGATTCAGAACGAGGCGAGGGGCAGCCCTACCAAACCACCAAAGCCAGACCTTGCTGACATCTTGAAGACCCACATGGCCGCTCTACCGGCCTGAGCCCATCACGGAAAAGGACATTGCGTCCAAACTCAAACAACACGTCACTGAGCTCAAGAACTTCTCCATAAAAAAGACCGTGCTACAAGGCAAACTGGACGGCGCCAAAGCCCAGTACCAAGGATTGCTCACGGAAACCTGTAGACAAAGTTGAATGATGGTCACGAGACCCTCAAGCAGATCTCTGATGACTACATGCAGGCTGTCGCCCCAATCGCCATGTGGAAGTCCCTCAAGTTGAGGTGCCGAGGTCAACCTCCTCGTCAAAGATATGCCCTGGTCCTTGTCCCTCACGATAACGGGCAAAGGGAATCACCCAGGGAGGACACAGTGAGGGATTTAAAGGAGGAAGTCAGGGCACTAAGTGGACTTTATGCGGGTTTGCCACATTGAACTTCCCCCGGCCTTGAGCCATGTATGTATGTATGTATGTATGTGTGTATGTATGTATGTATGTATGTATGCATACGCGCATACATGGATTAGAAGGTTTTGCCAAGGCTAAAGAGGTGAACTATGGAAAAGGCATTTACGGAGATAAGGGCGTTGACAACTTGCTTTCACAATTAGGAGGTGTGTCCAGTGTGGATTTTAACGCAGTGTTTGAGTTTGCAACTCGGTCGCCTTAGCTTCGTTGCTCAGAAGAGCTGGCCGAGCTAGCCGCTGTGCGGCGCTAAGAGCCTGCTTGCCTTTGAAGACGCAAAGCGTCCTTGGGAACCACATGATTTCTATAGACATTTCTCTCTCAAAAAATGTCCATTCGTAGGGAAATCGTAACCAACAGCTCAGTTGGCTAATTGCGTGATTTGCTGAACTTTTGAAACAAACTATTCCCATTTGGAGTGCGTACCTGCAGCTCAACGTTTCTGGCCTGATGGATTGCACAGACGAAGGAGTTGGATGCAGAGTCCAAGCCACGCCTGCTGAATGTAGAGACTGTTGAGGCTGGATCTGGCTGTTTCTCCGCTTAGTGACTTAGTGGCTCGGTGTGACTTGCTTAAACCATTTTCCAGCGCGTGCTCATGGCCAAGCTCTCCGCTCGAGCTTTGCTGGTCTGAAACTTTGGAGAGACTGCTACTACTTCTCCAAAGATGACTTACAACAAAGAAAACAGAGTCGCTCCCCAAGGCGGAAAAATTGAAGTTTTTGAGGGAATGCTCCAAAGCTTGCGAGGAGGCCCCAGATTTTCTGTTGTTCATTTACTGTTTGTTTGGACCGTTCGTATGTTTTATGTTTCTTTTACTTCTTCCCTGTCCCTTTTTAAGACAATTCCTTTTTGTGCAAAGGATACCTTGAACCTCTCTAGTCTCTGCAGCCTCCCTGCTTTGACAGTGAGATCATATCCTGCCATGGGAGGCGCGGCGTGATGCTCGGTACCCTCCAGCAGTTTTGCAGCAACTTCCCAAGGCGGTGCTTCTGAACTGAACCTGCTTCTTCAACTCACGTTCTGAGCTTTGAAGAGAACACTTGAGAAAACTCTTTATTATGATGTCTAGTTCCTTTTGAGCTTTGAGTTTGTTGCATAGCCGCCCGTGAAAGGTGCATCAGATGATTGGCAACTATGGGTCTTTGAGTATGACCTGTACCCTTCCCAGATCTTGAAAGCCTTGAGTCCTTGTTTCTTCGCAGTCTCCATGGTGCTTCAGGCACCGAATTGTTTGGCCATGACTCTGTGCCGCCTGACCAGGTGTGCTTTGTAATTTGTCACTCTCATTTATACTACATTATATACCTTGTGTAGCGAATTTCCAGTCGCTTTGTTGAGCAGCTGCACACGTGAGACAGCTTGTCATGAAGGCAAGTGCTTGCCTGCAATCCATGCTTGAGCGGCGCGAACTGTCCATAGCTTACACAAAGAAAAGCAGTATATATATATATATGGAGTATTTCTGGTGCAAGACGCGCAAGACGGACTGCCGCATATGTTAGGACTATTTTCCTTCTTGATGCTATGGCAAATGCCATGGAGGTGCACTGGTAATTGGCATCTCGTGTTTGAAAGATGCAAAAAGCAATGAACGTTTTACTTCTGAAAGGTAACAAGCCTGCTAATCACGAACCACTCCAGGAACCAGATCAGATTGCTGCCATCTTCGGGCCATTCTTGAACCAGGAGACTTGCATAGACAATTTATTGTGCCTGTGGCAGTGTCAACTCATGTAAGAATAATCGAACAGATCGCACGCAAACAACAAGCGATCTGCTATCTGCTATATAAATCCGAGGAAGCAGAAAAGCACATGGAACAGCAAATACCCGACACCTTTTAGCTATGCCAGCGATGCTTGGTGCTTGGTGCACAGGCTTGCTTCCGCCTGAAAGGCCGGAACTTGGTGGATCAGAAGCTGGAGGATGAAACTGGGATGCATGGCAATGCATGGTGCATGATACTGCACGGCAATTATGACAATGCACGGGGCGAGTTCCCGTCCAACTCAACTTGGAGCCTTAAGTTTCCCTAAAAATCTCGGAACCAAATCAGTGCGAGCGCTTCTTCAAGGAAGCTGAGCTATCCGTCCAAGGTAGTAGCTATTTGAAGGTAGTAGCTCCCTAGCTACCTAGCTACCTACCTGAAGCTACTAGCTACCTAGGCTACCTAGCCTCCTAGCGGCCTACCCCGCCCGGACAGAAACGACTTGTGCTGATCACCGTGGTGGACCATCCCTTCGAACCATTTTGCCTCAATTTTGGCTCTTACATTTGACTGGGAGGAAGTTAAAACATATTGGTCACATCGCAAGCAGCTTACCCATCCACTCATCAATCTTCATGCAATGCTTTGAATGCCCCAACCAAACCTCGTCATCACTCTTCATCACAGTGTCCACGAGAATGTGAAGAAGCTTGGTGCTTGGAGTCCTGATTTCTTCATACAAAAACAACAATATTGAACATCTTGAACCTGACCAGAGCCGACCAGCTTATGCAGTTCCACTTGCACAGCTGGCTTCGGTGTTTCATCGCGCAATGTGTGCTGGTTCGGCCAAAGTCATGAGCTCAACAAAAGTTTGCTAGTACACTCATTACCATAAGGCTCAATTAAGCTCGCTTGAGGGACAGGACTTAAGTACTCCGTAGTTACCGATAGTGTTTCCTCACCTGCGAACAGCTAGCAAACGTCAAGGGTCATCTTGAAGAACGAGACACGTGTGAGTCACAGCAAGGCTGGGAAGCGCAAGACCTTTCAGCCAAATGACGACCGGATAGACCCAGTGGATCCATCCTTAAAGCTGGTGAGGTGCGTCTCAGTTTCGATCATTTTTGCATTTGACGCGTTTCTCCTTTTTGAGGCCGGACGGGTTTCTTCCATTCAAGGTCTTTGTACCCATGCATCCACTGTGGAATTGTTCTTACAACTTTTTGTATATGCTGTGACAATGTGTACGTGGGCTCGGCATTTCCTTAGCCAGTTAGTTGTCTAGATGGTTGAAGATGGTGAGGGGATCGAGCAATGTATGATTACGCACAGGATGTACTGCGTCCCCCCCAGAGGTTTTGAGGGCTCAATTCCCTGTAAATCACACGCATCGGTTATAGCGATCCGATGCCGGATACTATATATATATCATTGTAAGTAACCATGCAAACCCTAAGTTGAAATGGATGCTTCGTGCTTCAGCAATGAATAAGTTCTCGGCAATTCCATGTGAATAACAGTGCTAACCCTAAACTCACCCTAAAATCCAAAGCCCTTTTGATACTTATGACCCCTAGTTGATTTGTTGGGTGGCATTGTGCATCGAGGTCAACACCGTATATAATACTTATCTCCGCCCTTTATACCTCTCACTTCCCTTCTGGACAGGTCTGCCTCGGCCAGCTTGGCAAAGCTCACAGGGCAACCACGTGCAGTTGCACGGGCTGCGTTGGATGCGCTCAATGAGGCAAGACTGCTTGGGGCACAGAGACACCAACCCATAAGCATGCAAACTCTGTTTGGAGTGCCTTTACAAAAGGCCTAAAGTTTGGGCCTAAAGATGATGGGTTGGAAGGGCCGAACACACATAGATAGGCATTTGTTGTTCGCCTTTTGCCAAACCAACAAAATCACATACTGTATGCCTAATTTCCTTTGTAGTGGCTCCCAAGATTCTTTAAATGTTGTTGTCCATCGGTGATTTTAATGGCAGGATGCAGACCAGGCCTGTCGCTTGCTGCTGAGTGGTCTAGCACTGGCTTTACTCGACAACTGCGAAGTGGAAGAACTGAAACCTGGGATCTTTGCCTACCTCGCAGTTGCTTGCAGATAATTAGTGAACTGTTGCACGAAAAGAGTGCCCAAAAGGGATGTTTTGTAGCTTTGCCAGTCAACTTAGCCTCGCATAGCTAAGCTAAGGCTGACGGAGAGGAGAAGAGACCCAAAGTTCTATCAGAAGGCGTCATCTATCTTGAATTCCATATGTTGAATTTCATGGTGTCTCTTGCCCAGCCTTGGTTTGACACCGTATCACTTGTCTTGTGCAAAGATTGCAGGTGCCTTTGCGGGCTGCTTTCTCCTCCGCACTGACAAGAACCGTAAGGTGTGACTTTACAGTGGTCAGTAGTCAGTAAATTAGAGTGCTGAGTCACTGGGCTTGTCGCAATGTCCAGGAAGGATTTCATTTTTTGCTTTGTTGGCAGCTAATTGATCAGCCTGAAATCATGCGGCAACCATCCTTATCCTTGAAATAGGTGGCTATCCTTGAAGTTCTTGATGGATGCAGATTTGTGGTCCAATTTTGTACCAGCATTTCATTGAGTTTAGACTGCCAAGTGTTTAATGAAGACTTATGACTGACCTGGCCAGCAGGCAGGAAGGAGGAAGAGCAAGGAAAATGGGAAACGGGAGGATGTGAATGAGGTCAGTATCTTTTCTATGGTGTTTTTGTTTTGATTAGTTTCGGGTTAGTGTGATTGTTCTTGTGCGGGACAACAGAAAAAGTCAACTTCTTGGTTGTACTTCTTTCTTTCTTTCTTTCTTTCTTTCTCTCTCTCTCTCTCCTTTCTCTCCCTCTCTCTCTCTCTCTCTTTCTCTTTTCTTGATTTTCTTCTTTGAAGTTGCTATTGCAGCTTCCATGTAAGGTGGGGTGCCCGACGGTAGATCGGTTTATGTAGCACTAAAGCAGGGCAACAAAAGCGAGCTGTGCGAGCTCCCACAAAGCGCATTTTTCTTGTTAAGCGCTACGTTTTGGAGACTCTGCCACAACCCTGTACAAGAGTGCTTACACTACGTGGTCGGCGGCATGGGGCAACGATCCTGCTTTGAGCCCTCGGCAAGCCGAAGGTGAATTGGCCTTCGGGCGGGCAGGGCCTGCTGGCCCGATTTGAGGGCTGCCGGTCTGGACGGGGCAGGTCAGTTCCAAGTGCACCCTGCCTCTTCAAACGGTGCAGAAATCGAGATGGGAAAGGGCACCGGGGCATCACAGAAGGTGTTGGTGGAAGAGTGTGGTATGTGTTTGGTTGACAATTGACAGAAGGAAGACTGTTATATATTTGTATATAATTAAATAAATATATTGCTCGGAGCAAAAGGCGCAAGGACATCCCAATTGACAGGAACAAATCACTATCCCGAAAGGAAATCTGATGTCTGAACACATTCTACGCCCTGCCCCCTCTGAAAAAGAGTCGCCGCGAAAAAGGATTGCACCTTCAATAAATACTAGAAGGTCCACAATACCTCAAGTCACGTCAAATCCCTTCTGCTCCAGGCCTCCTCTACAAACTCTCCGAAACGAGACCACACAATCACGTTCAGTACAATAACCGATGCTGCAAGCGCTCCGATACGGTAGCGCATGCGGTGCCTGAGGTCACTTCGGAACCTTTTATTTGCAACGTACAATCCCGTACTGTACTGTATTCTTTTGCCACCTTTCCGGCAACGGCCGGGGTCGGGGGACAATTATATATATACATATTATACATAAGCATCTATTATATGTACACAACACACACATACATACATACATATTGTGATGTGTCTAATAATTGCTTTTAATGCTGGCCAGGAACCTTTGCGCCTCTTTGCTTTGGAGCCGGTGGATGTTTGCCTTCTGTCGCGGCCGAGTGACGAACATCCGGAGGGCTGGGCCGAGTTAGAATACACTGAAGCGCCGGAGGTTGAAGGCTTTGAGAAGGATGGGTCTGGGGTCCGTCGGGTCAGTCTTGCCGGGAAATGGTGTAGTAAGCTACCCGGTACATATTGACAGGATGGACAAAGTTATTGCAGGTTCCTTCTCAGTTGAAGCTCCAGCAAGTGCATCAATTTTCAATCATTGTTCGACGTACTTGTAATTTCAACGCATAAACTTGTACTACACTAAGTACTACAGTAGTATATATATATATTTAGTGTTCTCTCCAGAGCATGTTTTTTGTTGGATGCTTGGTGAATGTTGCGCACTTGAGGAGGACGTTGTTATTCATTCCTGCTCATTCGATCCTGGACTGGTCCAAGTGCCCTTGGAGGGAGCCATCATTCTGGTTCGCGCCAAAACCTCAGAGCCTTCAAGGCATATTCCAGATGGAAGCATAATTCGTCTGTACAATGCCTTGACTGTAACATATCTTTTTTTTGTTGGCGTGTGCATAAGGGTTTCTTGAGTCATGTGTCACTTTGTTCATGTTGCATGTACCGCAGCCCTTTCTGAAGCAGCAAGTTAAAGGGGGAAAAGAGCCCAAATGTTCGCTGCATGGTAGCGGAGGGCCTAGTTCTGTGGGTTGCGCGACGCATCACCGCCTGGTATAAGCGCAGGGCTGCTTCAGCCCGCGCCCGGACCAATTGGGTCCGACTGGTGCGCAAGTTCCGGCGGGTAAGGAGGCTGCAACGCTTCTTCCACGTTGGTGTGCACCTACGTGGCTATATATAGCCGAGCTCTGCCGGACCAACTGTTGTCGCAAGCAAGTGGAAGTCCAGCAGGAAATCCACAAGCCCAAGGCAATGGACCAGGGCAGACTGCAGAAGTGATCTTTGGACAGATTCTGCAGACCATGCAGGCAGGGATGGCGCAGATGGCCCAAGGCTTTCAACAGAGGCTTGAACTTCTGGAAGGCGGTATGCAAGACGAAGCACGAGCTCTTGCCATGAGTGCTGATGCGAAGGCGCTGGAGACCTTCTCTAAGAGGTCGCGTCGTGGATATCAAGGGTGTTGGAAAGCTTCAAGTCCTGAAAGGGTCCCACGAGGATGAAAAGGACATTTGGAAGAGCTGGTTGTACAAGAGCTGGTTTGCGTCGCAGTATCCGAGTAGGCCAAGATGCGCTGGATTGGGCGAGGACCATGGGCGACTTGACCATTCAAGACTCAGGCAACATGTACACATTGTATGCCCACGATGACAGCGTGAAAGATGGGCTGACGCCCTTTCGAAG